ACACAATAATAGAAAAGCTGACAGGATCGCTTTTCTAAATACCACAGTACAGTAGCCGGCAAATATGTAGAAAACAGAAATGCATATTCCCATCATTGTACATGGACGGGCGCAGCAGGCCGAAGCTATCAGCCAGAACAGGATTTACAATCACTTAGAGATACTTGAGCTATTCCAATATTCTCCGTGAGCTGTCCCATTCCACAATGGTTCATGCCACCATTATCTCTGGTAGTATCCTTGTGCATAGTTCCAAGACCATCTCGGATTCTTCAGCAATTCGTGCCACGGCAAAAGACAATGCTTGACTCGGTCACTGGGGCTGTGAAACTTCCCATCACAAATGAACTTCAATTTCTCATCTATTTCAGGTATATGTACTGCCATGACTTGACCATGCTTCATCCACAGCTGGGCGAAGATTGTGGCGTTGAATCCCATTGCGCACCTTCTTGCTGCCATGCAGGAGTATGTTGAGAGAAGTGAACATATTTTTTCTAAAAAAACAACAGCCACTGAAGAGGATAGCAATAGCCTTGGGTAAATTTCCTGCAGGTACACATTGTTGGTAGGTCTACTGGTCTGTCTCCATATCGTCAAGTTCAGAAATCACCTGTACTACACATCTTGTAGAAGGGATCCTGATCGAATAATTTTCTGGTCATAAAATTCACTAAACTGAGGGCGAGACAAATAGTCAGTACTCCCCGATTCCGTCAAGCTGCTTTGAAGTCTGGATGCACATGTGATGCTAACAAGCTCCCCGTTGTTACTTCCAGCAGCTCCACTTTCCCTGCGACAGCGGCTATCAACCTCTCTCTCCATCGTCAACAATTATCACAGATTCAACATTCTACATTTATCAGCACTGCACTGGGTGAATATGTCTCGAGACGAATTTAGCGGATCAACAACGCTTCGCTGGAGATACATTCTCCTCTGGAGGACCTTCAGGGTACCTGGAAGGGTATAGAAGACGGGATCGCTCACGACGTTGAAAGAACATAGAAAACAACCTCCTCTTCGATTGAAAATTGGCCAAACAGTATGTGAAATGTATGTGCGCAGATGCATTTCCACTGGCAAGCTAATCCCTCATTAGGTCATCAGCGCTCGCTCGGCGAAATTCAAAAGTCGTCTTCCTGCTCGGCTCGATCGCTTCTGGAGACTCGTACTTGTTCGAGGGGTCTTCTCTTTCACCTACCTTCGTCTTGGCATCGAAAACTCGGCGTCGAAAATGAAGCCGGAGTGCCCCTTTAACTCGCTATTTGCCTACACTACCTAAGAGCAACCGCCCACCAAATTTTCAGAGCAATCGTTATTTTTTTGGAAATTTATTTATAATTATTTATTACAGCATCTCATAGCACAGTGAGAACACCGGCCAATACAAAGAGAGAGGGTGTCAGCTAACCACGACAAGGCAGGGAGAAGGGGAGGAGAAGAAAAAGGAACCGGCATGGATAAGCAGTGATTGCAACCAAATCAGAAACGCAAAATCAAAATCAAGGCGCGACAAGGCTCTTAAAAAGGCGGAGGGAAGAATGGTCCTTAGCTTATTGGGGAAGTGCCAGCCACGCAGAGTACGCAATAAAAAAGGGAGAGTGAAGTAGAAAGGAGGACTTAGGTTTCGGAAGGGAAAGGGAGTTTCTCGTGCTACGGGAAGAGAACCAGTTGAAACAGTGGAGGTGAGGCGGACACAGATTGAGTTTGAGAGAATGGATAAGGGTGACAAGATGTGAAATACGTCTCTTAGACAAAGGGGAAGTGTCAGCAAGGGCATAACGGGTTGAAGATGGAAGCATGCGGGGTTTTCGGAGGAGGATTTTGAGAACTTTTTTGTGTTGAATCTCGAGCTTGGCAGCACGGGTTGTGGAAATTCCAGCCCAAGCAGTATCTGCATAATCAAAAATGGGGCGTAAGTAAGCTGAGTAAAAGAGGAGTTTACAAGAGATTGGGAGATGGTTACAGTGAGAAGAGAGAATTCCTAAAAATGAACTTGATCGTTTACATATGTAATCGATGTGGGGTTCCCATGAAAGATTAGAGTCAATAAAAATGCCAAGATGCTTATGGCTGGAGACTATGTCTATAGACTTGGGGAAAGTGGGATGGAGGAGGGGCGGAACATCGGGCTGAGAAGGAAAGAGCATGAGTTTAGTTTTAGACAGATTGGGCGATAACCGCCAAGACGACATCCAGGAAATAACTCTTTGAATCCCGTTAGCTAGGTTACTCATCAGGCCAGTGATGTTAGGAGATGCCCGTAGGAGCGTTGTGTCGTCTGCAAACAGTGATGTGCCCGGGGCAGCTGCGGGCAGATCATTGACGTATAAAATAAAAAAGGGGGCCGAGGATGGAACTCTGGGGAACTCCGGATAGTACTGTTTCGTCGGCCGAGGACGTCCGATGTACCGTGACGTACTGCGTTCGCCCAGTTAGGTAAGATGTCAGCCATAGCAGGGGATTGCCGTCTACAGTAAATGATCCACGAAGCTTGGCCAAAAGCCCCCGTGCCAAACGGTATCGAAGGCCTTGGCAAGATCGAAAAAAAAACAAATCCCCGCTAGATCTCCAGCATCCCGATGTCGACACACTAATTGCACCAGGCGCGTCAGCTGGAGGGTGGTAGAATCGCCTCTGCGAAATCCGGACTGAGCTGAACTCAAACGTGACGAGACATGACAGTACAATTGGTCGTAGAAAACGCGCTCACAGAGTTTGGAAACACAGGACAGTAGAGATATCGGACGGTAGTTTGATGCTTCGTGGCGGGACCCTTTCTTGTAGATCGGTATAACATTAGCTGTTTCCATGCAGAGGGAACACGACCAGTGCGGAATGATAGGTTGAAAATCAGACATAAGGGGTATGCTATTGAGGGCGCAAGGGACTTTAATACCAGATTAGTGATGCCGTCTGGGCCCGGAGCCTTGTCAGGCGGGAGCTTTCAAATGTAACGTCGAATGGCAGCAGTCGTAGTAAAGACAGATGTGAGACGGTCAACCTCACCCGACTCCTCGGCAATGGGGGGAATGGGTAGAGAAGGGTCATCAGGCACGGCCACTGAGGCGAACTGAGAGTTCAATGCAGTGGCTTTAGCTGAAGAGGTAGTAGCCTGCTGCGTAGAACTAATGGTGAGTGTCGGGATGTCACGAGATACTTTATGACTTTTTAATTTGTTCACGAACTGAAACAGTGATGGGTGGTTTTTGTCCTGCAGCGTAGCCTGTACGGACCGAATGTATCCCCGGTATTTCGATCGAGTCGCACTCTTCACCAAGTTCCGTTGAGATCGATATACATACATGTAAAGCTGGGTTGGGTATTTCTTACACACACTGTGGAAGTCGTGCTTTGCCTTAATGGCGGCACGGAGGGGGGCATCAATCCAAGGTGGCTGACCTAAACGTCGGCATGAGGGGAAGAGTGGACGCCGGGAGAAGTACCCGAGGTGCTTCTCCATGGCCCTGCTAAGAATAGAGTGGAAAGACGAAAGAGCGTCATCCACGTGCGAGCTGCGGAGGTGACATTTCCAGTGCACATCAGCAAGTTCAGCAGTCAGGTCATCCCATACGCAACATGGCACCAACTTCAAATTGTAACCTGGGCGTGTAGGGGTAGATGTTGGGAGGAAGTGATGGTGCAGGGTTGGATTTTTGGACGTGGCAGGGAGACGACTCGACAGATGAGCTGCACTTGGTCAGAGCTACCCAGTGGAACGGAGAGGAACTGTTGGGGTGAATTTGTGACGATGAGGTCCAATCAAGATGACCAGCCACTTGGGCTCCAGTGCGTAGGGAAGTTGACCAGTTGCTCTAATGAAGAGTACATAACCCCCCAGAGTGTGCTACTCCACTATGGGTGCTGTCCCGACAGAATTTCAAGTTGACGTCATTTTGATGATGCAATGCGCACTGCACACGGATTATCAGACGTTGACCGAAGCCGATCGATCCTATACAATTTATTGCAAAGAAAAACGTGTGATGCGTTGACACCCGTACACATGTTGTAAATCACTGCTGCAAGGAGCATTGCGTCATAAATATTGACGTCAACTTGAAATTCTGTCGGGACAACAGGGTATGTGGGAGTTGCACACTCTGGGGGGTTATGTACTCTTGCTCTAATCCGAAGCACCTGAAGGCAGTTTCAAGGCACTGACCCACCGGGGTTGTCCGATCACCAGCCAACCAGCTCGAGTTATGGGCATTGAAGTCACCGGTGAGGAGTAGTGTGGATACAGATAGATTAATTGACAGAAGGCAGTCTTCTAGACCATCAGAATAGGCCTGGATATCCGCCAGGGTACCACAAGGAGGTCGGTAGGTGGCGCAGACTATGAGTGGGCGTTGGGGTGAGTTGGCTGTGCGAAGCTCAAGCCAGATGGCCTCCAAGCCCGGTTGCTGAAGATTCGCCAGAGGCTTCACCGATGTAAAGGAGCCATCTTTCACCAATATGGCTACCCCACCATAACCTCTGGTAGGATTGGCTGATTAAATATTACAGGTGGGACGATCCCGTCGATGAACTGTGTAGCACTCAACCTAGCATTAGCAACCAAAATAACTAGCATTGCCAAAAGCATTTTTTGCCCAAAAAAACTAGCATTAGCCGCTGAGGCCTAGTACACACACCATACACCACGTGCAAAATATCATGGAAAACGCGGTTTAGGTTCATCGTGCATACGGTGGGTGCATGCAGCCAACGCGTCTCCAAAGCAACAACGCATGTTCAGCAGTCGTGGAGAAATCACGTAGAGCGAAACCCAACAGCTCTGATTTTCACGTATGAAAATTCCGTGCAGTTCATACGTTATTTTCATACGTAATTCCACAGAGCGAAACCTCCCTAATAATAGAAAAGCTGACAGGATCGCTTTTCTAAATTCACTCTGACCTAAACAAACAATCTTTACGCCCGGATTCTACTCACACATGGCTTTTTCTAAATACCGAAAAGTAGTTATTTACTCTTGGCCGTAGCAATGAACAAACCAAAGTATAAACTGAAGAAGATGCAAATAGGGACGACCGAAATAGAATAGTCAGATTCTTTCTGCAAATAAAGTGCGGAGCGAATATGAGATTCTGGACCGGTGCAATGCAATTCATCGTAACAGGGTGGATCAATCCTCTAGGACTTCCTTTGCAACTATTTGCACAAACCAAAGAATATATTTTAGAAGACGCTAGCAAGAAAAACAGAAGTATAAGTAGAAAAGGATGGCAATAAATAGATAAGTTTATGGTAGAAGCTGGTTCTGTTTATTGTATTCATTACACTGTTGTCACCTTGTCGCCTTTTCGGAGTTCAGGTTATTCTGCAATTTAAAGATTTACAACTAAGCAAAAGCATTATAAATCTGATGTTCTGAAACGGTGAAAGATGAAAGGTGAAAGGGAATACGTGCAGTCAATCAGGTACTTCACAGCTGATGCTTGATGTGTCTGAACTGCCTGCACGGGAAGAGTGAGAGCGAGAAAGAGAGAGAGAGAGAGAGAGAGAGAGAGAGAGAGAGAGAGAGAGGAGCAATTGCACGGGTCATTCAATGCAGGATGTACTGTTGTTTTCACGATATCTACAACTATGTGAGAGAAACACCAAAAAGTTAGGGTGTCAGTTTCCAATGAATGGACTGTAGACAATACTAGCAAGAGTACATAACCCCCCAGAGTGTGCAACTCCCACATACCCAGTCCGTGCGCCAAGGCCGTTGAGAGACCGATTTTCATTTTCTCGCGGGAATCGTAGCCTCCAAGGCGCCGCACCTGCGGGCTTGTTTTCTGTTGATTTCGCCTATCTCCGAATGGTGAATATTTGCTGCTTAGAGCCCTTCTAGTCTCGTCAGGAGACCTTTCCTACACTGGAGAGATGGCTCGGAGTGATGTAGACACCTATGGCCGTACCCTGGAAATTTATTTTGGAGCTTGCAGTTCGTGAGCAGCCACCAAGGACGAATGTCTCACTTTTGTAATTGCTGAAACGAGGAATATGGTCACCAATTTCACACCAGGTAAGGCATTTACCCATCGCGGACACTAAAGCCGCTTTGTGGGGTGATAGACCAAAGCTTTATCTTTCGAATGCACGAGAAATTTGAGTGATACCTATGTGCCCCACAATTGCACCCGAAATAAACCACGCACAGGCAATATTGTGATTTTATGAGAAGAGACAATTGAGCATGCTCTAAATCGTCATGACCTGTTGTGTTACTTTTCAAACACCACTCCGAGTGAGCATCTACCAATCCTTTATCAATTTTACAGGGACATTTGAGCTTAGGGGATAGAGGTGGGATATTTCACCAGCTGAAGTACTAGATTTTTTCTGAATTTTTTGACTACTAGGTTGCACAGTGTAAATATGTCAGTATTATGTGCGTTATTGTGGTGAAATTCTGAGCATCTAATTATAATAGGCACAACAGCACTGATGCATGCCCTCTCCTAGATCCTGCTCTCTGACCTTTTTCTTGCATTGCACAACTCAAATTCGTCGAATGAAATGCAGGAGTAAATTTGTTGCTGCCAATTAACTGCATCAGTTCTGTTTTCCTCTGCTGTTCTTCTTTCAGTGTGGTGACTTCTGATCCATGAGGCGATGGCATGAAGTCAATAGTTTGCAGTATGTGCAATATGCGGCAGTCTCTCTGTCAATGGACCTGTGACAGCTGAAGCCCAGATGTTGCAGTTTGATGTCTATGGCCAGCAGCAATCTAATGTTGTTGCACCTTTCCTTCCACACAAAGCAAAGTGGAATATGTCATGGACAGACATCGCTAAACTGCCTCTTTTGAAGAAGCATCGCAATTCTTGTCTGCCAATAAAGAACAGACTAGCCAGCTATAATTACAATTTGGAGGTCGGAGACGCGATCCCGTGAACTTATTGCGCTAACTGCAATGAAGAAAGCTTTAGTAATCTGGATTTATTACCATTCTCGTGTGGACAACTATGGCGTTGTGATCCAAGTCATGCAGACTATAAAATGCCTTGGACGTGAGATAGTGAAGGTACTGCCGACAGCAAGCCAACAGTGGATATGAACCACGCCGCCAGCATCATTCTGCACACCAGGAGAATCCAATACATATAGCTGCCAACTCTGATGGTATAGATCCGATAACTTGTTTTCTTACTCTAACGATTGGTATACAATTATACATGTACTAGTGCAATCTCTATCCATATGCGTAATGCACTGTATTTGTTTCCGGTGACTGGAGGTAGTTTATCATAGCACTGTTTTATGTCCTGGTTTTGTTGAAGATGAGAATTATCCAGTTAACTTGTTAGGTACCGTATCAGTCAGCTCTTTCAGCATTTGGCTTTGTGTTAGGGGTGGTTGGCGGTGTCGCGGGTCATTCCACAGTCCGCAAAGTTGACGTTCTCGGCAACGGAGCGACCCAGTAGGCAATTGATCACCGATAAATATACTGTCATTGGTATCACCATGGTGCACCACAATGGCATATGGTATGAATATCATTATGTTATTCTTCAGCGAGTCTTTGTCGTGTAGCTTGCGAAAGTTGTTGCATACGGTCATTACGTGCATAATGCATAGTATTAAAAAAAAATGTTTCGAAAATACTCAAATTCGACGACGGCAGAGAATCTAGGAAGATGCCGGACCACAGCGAAACAAGTCATCTGGCTGAAAAACGGAATACACCATTGGGTTGCAACGGCTAAGCCCAATTTCTAGGCTCACCACACAGGTAGCGAAATGCCAAAACAAACGAGCCATACACACAAAACCATTTTCCAAAATTGTCCACCATTGAGAATGCGACTCAAAAAGTACCCAAAACTGCCCTGTGCGGAAAATGAAAAGTCAACTTTTAGACGACTTTTTTGCGTCTCGCGCACGGACTGTACCCTGCTGTCCCGACAGAATTTCAAGTTGACGTCATTATTTATGACGCAATGCTCCTTGCACCAGTGATTTACAACATGTGTACGGATGTCAACCCATAACACGTTTTTCTTTGCAATCATTTGTACCAGGGAGTAGTAAAATACAGGGAGGTGACACGCCACTTATCGTGATTTTTGATGGGTGCCTCGCGCTTTTTTTTTTCTTTCGCAAAAAAAGATGATCTGCTGAATCAATCCTTGAGTATGTGTCGAAGAACTAATTCCGTGAAAAGGTCTATCCATCTCATGGAACAGCATTTGTTTTGTTCTTGTGATACATATTTGTCATCGTCATTTGGAAAGGTACCACCCTTCCGAAATTTGTCCTGATGGACGGCATGGAGCAATAGAACGAAGGTGATTTTCTTGAGAACAATACGTGTACTATTGGAGATGAAAAGCGAGTGCACCGATTCGAAGTCCAAAAAATCTCTAGGACACCACACGATCGGCACTAATTTCTCCTCAGTTGTGATCAACCAGTACTTCTCTACCTTCTTTGTGATGATGAGCATTTCATATTATGGTATGCTAGAGATTCGGGAGTTCACTTTTCGGAATGAAATGTTCCTAAGTTTTTCACGGATTGAAATGCAGGCTACGTCGTCGTAAACAGCTTGTATCGACACAGGAAAAATCTACGGCACGCAGGGATATCTCCCGAAGTGATACCACACTTGCTGGACTTCTATTCTGACATAGTGGTAGTTTGGTCGACTACCAAACTTTGTGAAGGCAGACAATTTTTGGAAATTCTCAGCGCTGAGTTTCTACGGACTGCAGTAGGAGTCCCTTTGGCGGTAGATATTTTACTACTCCCTGATCGAGAGAAACCTGATCCGCGCGCGTATCTACACACTTCGGCACCCATAGTACCCAATCTCATCCGCAGGGTGAAAACGGTGCTGAGGCAATCGTCAAACTGGCCGTACATGCTCGTGTCTACTCCCTGTATTTTACTGCCCCCTGATTTGTACCGGATCAGATCGCCTTGGTCGACCACAGGTTCCGGATTCGTCTGATAAAGCGTGTAGAGTGCGCATTGTATCATCACTATGACGTCAACTTGAAATTCTGTCGGGACAGCACCCATAGTGGAGTTGAACACTCTGGGGGGGGGGGGGGTATATACTCTTGATAATACTAATCTACAGCACGGTTTCCATCCATATTCTGGGGATGTATATTGTACCAGTTCTGATAGCAATGATCTTGCATTTCAAGTGGGAACTGGGTTTGCATTCCTATCACCTTTTTGTATATGATTACTTTCTTGCATAGGTTTTTTCTTTCTCTTTGTGTTCTGTTCTATTCCTTCATGATGGCACGTTGAATTTTTTTGCCCGTAAAAGAGGCCAAACGTGGATCATCAGATCATTCTAGAGGAATGCAGCTCACATGAAACCATCGTGACCTAAGTATGCTTACCATTATCATTCTGGCGATACTACCAACCTCTACTACTCACCTTTTACCCACGATTCTCAGTGAGCTGGCCCGAGAGCTGCAAAGTTACCTCCTGAGAAAACAGCAGCACACCAATGGAAGCATTAGTGAACTAGTTACAACTGGATCCACTCCACAATGCCATAGCACAAAGGTTTGTGCGGCTTCATCAAGTTTTTTGTTTGCTCCTTCCTTTTTATCTCCTTATGATCGGTTTTTCGGGCCTCTTTGTAGTAGTAAAGCGTACTGTTGAGCCACCGACGTAAAATAAATTCAATACAATACAATACAAGAATAATAAGAATAATAACTTCATTAGGATGACCCAAAGGCTGCCCGCCTATCGTGGGGTCTGTCGCATTGAAGGATAATGAATACAATACTACTAATAAACAGTTCACGACACTAACAGCATTGAACACGGCACTTTTTCACATCGCGAATACAATACTACAAAATGAAAATGACAAGTTTCTACGGTGATTGACCTTCTCTCTGGCGGAGCTAAGCCGATCGCACGTCATCACTCTGCTGGTCGCTTTGGCAATGTATATCATGCTGTACCGCTACCTCTCGCTCAGACTTCGTTCAATTGCGTCAATCATTCATAAGGTTCCCTGAGGCTGTAATAAACCCCAAATACTACTACTACCACTACCACTACCAATACCACTACAACTACAACTACTACTACTGCGCGCGGAGGCCTTCGGTTAACTTCAATATCTTCCTTTTTGGCCGGCTTTCCAAGTTGCGCTATTGCGAATAATGATCTGCTTTGATAGTAGTGACGGCTAATAATTGCCTGGATTTGACTCGAGTTTGGATTTTTCTTCAATCATCTTTCCGATCACATTATCATGGATTTTCAATAAAGTTCTTTGACTACGAGATTAAGCGCGTGCTAGACTTGCGCCTACTGCATCTGCCTCTGAAACAGCCCGTCCCTGTATACATTCACGCGATTACTCCTCTCGCTATCGTATTATCACACCTCTCTCCACTTAGATATACCAGCGCTGCCTCCTATTCCATTATCGTTGTCTGATGATTGGTTCAGCCATGAAACTCTGAGTCACAACGGAATAAATTTGCCAAGGTTTTCATTGTGTGCCTTTGTGTACGCCGCTCTGCCTGAATCAGGCATTGAGCACTCTTGCAGAACCAAAACATATTGCCTCTGTGTATAATAAAAGATAATAATAATCTGGTTACGTTGGTGGACAGTTAGTCATAATTCGTAAAATTTTGTTCTTCTCCTTTTCACCATAATTTAATTGGCTCACCACCCGAGTTGAGCTTTTTTCTTCTTACTTGGTGCGCCAAGTTAAAAAAATAGCTTATCTTCTCACTTGGTTTTTTGGTGTTCTGCCTGTGCCACACGGCATGGAACCACCGATTGCCCATCCGAACATAACCATTGACCATTGCATCATTGACCATTGCATCCGACGACATGGTAGCACAAACCATCACAGAAGTTGCGATCGGTTTGTTTGAGTCTTTTTGACGGAGCTGCCGACGACGAACACTTCCGTCGGCGCAAGAAAACACTGCAACCTCCGCTCGAGTCCGTAAAATAGGTCAGGATGTTCGCATATCAGAGCGATGGAGAATTCAGTTTCTGTCTACTTCCAGCTGTCTGATGGCAAGGATTGTTTACCCCGGGGAGGTATAGAAAAGCTGAAAAAGCGCTTCGCGAGCTTGATTTTCAGTGCTTGCACAGTGCAGCGCCTAGTGAAGTGCTCTCACCAGCAAATCGCTGACGAAGAAACTGCAGCTCATGTGGATATCTCCAGGAGGTGAGACCAATCCGGTCGACACACTTTGAAGCTCACAGAGGACAGGGCAAAGGAGCTAATCAAATAAAACACCGAGGCCTGAGAGAAACACTCGTGCAAAGGACTTTCAGGAAACTAGCCGAAAAGCCTTGTGCACGGCGTTGTAGGTGCAGTATGCACAGTTGCTACATCAAGCGGAAGCTAACACTGCGCTGCATGTAGATCTACAAGCGAAAGCGGCTCGCGTGGGTACGGGCCGCGGATGCTGATCAGCAAGTACGACAAGCGCAAGAGGCGATTTGAAAAAAGGATACTGATATGGCGTTGCCTTTTTGTCTCAAACAAAGACGCCTTCTTGCGACAAACGGGGATAACGTTAGCACTTAAGCCTAGTTCACATTGGATGGGGCGCGACGGGACGCGACGTAAGGATCGACGGGAAGCGACGGGACGTTCTGACGGCGTCCAATGTGAACACCAGGAACGGGAACGCAACCGTACTACCGTACAGATCGGGAAGCGACGGGAAGAGTTGGATCGATCCAACTTTTCATACCGTAGACGGGCGTAGACGGGGACGCAGGCGTACAAAACGGCTGCAATTCGAGTGTGAACAGGAGACGGCGTCGTGCGCCGACTGCTCCCGATTCATACTTGGAAATGTTTAACATTTCGAACACTGCGCTTCCAATGATAACTCACAGAATGGCTAGCAGGACTGGAGTTGAATTTTAGCAACATAAGATCTCATGTCACTTACTGTATTTAGGGATAGTTCAGAAGCGTCACAGACGAACTATTCTATCATTTCCTGGGGCTATTATTTGAATGCCACAACTTTGAGGGCTAATTTTTTGGTCTTCACGAAAAACTGGTATTGTGAACTTGATTCCGCTTCTTTCAAGGAGATATAATTGAAAAGAAGTCCCGAAAAACGATTAATTAGGTCCAAGAGTCACCCCGTCACGGACCGTGCCTTATGACTCGCGCCGTTCGACGGTGACCGTCGCAACGACTGCTGCATGTCGTGTCGTACGAATCGTACAGGATTTTACAGCTAGCCCCAGCCCTCCTGACAAGCCCTTACGTCCCGTACCGTCGGCGTTGCGTGGAATGTGAACTAGGCTTTACAGTCAACATGCGGGCAATCTCACTCAGCTTCTGATTGGAAGGTGACAGGCACGCACTGCCTTTCAGCGTGATTCTAGACGAGGAGACGTGGAAAAAGCTATGAAACGACCGGTACAGCAGCTGTCCGGATCGTACGTTTTGAGCTCCTCCTCCAGGGACGATAGTGGCGAGGAGGATGTGTAATTTGCTTGAATTTTCGACTGAGTTGGTTACTGACATGTAAATAATCATGTACAAGGGTTCCGGATAAACAAGTGCCGGATTAGAGAGGGACGACTGTATGCTGTGCTTTGTGATCGTGGCCTGCTTCAAATATTCGTTTTTCTTTCCTGAGACAAGTGTGAAGATAAGCGCCAATTTTAACTGGGCGGCCCAAGTCCATGTATTTTCCTCTTTAGCATCGTCTTCATTGCTTGACATTGTGTAATAAAGTAATCCAATGTCACTTCATCTCGTCCTTCATATAACGTTATTAAAATTGTTGTCTCCTTGCCGAATAAGATTATTCTTACTTGAAAATTAAGCAATAAAGAACGCGCACGCATCGCCACGTTTCCATTCTTTCTTTTCTTTTCGTGCCGTGGTTGGCTATCACCCCTCTCACTCGCTTCGTGGGCCAATTGGTCATGGACCACAAATTTTTTTTGTGAAAAACAAACATGATAAGTATAGTACTTACTTCCACAAAGGACCGAATACCTTTCTGCTCCATCGGTGGCCAGAAACACCACATGCGATGATCCACGCACCTTGCTATAATGAGCTTTGACCCGCCCTCCGGCGAGGATATAGTCTGGACCAACACCAGGCACCAGGAGATCATCGAGGTTTGCTCGAAGTGTTGCGTCGTACTCGAAAGCGGCGGAAAACTCCTGCAGGGTCAGAAGCCTGTGGTTGATGTATGCGCAGGCGTCGCCTGCAAACTCGTAGGAGATTGCCGCGTTCTTAGCCAACGTGGCGAGCGAGAAGATGCCAGATTGTACTGTTTTCCGCCTCCAGTGTCCTAGACAGAAAGTAAGAAAAATGTATACATATCGGTTGTAGGGTCCGATGAAGACAGGCATGTTGTCTGGGTATGTCAGTCACCGCATGCACATAATTATAAGCTCATGAAACACACAAAACCTGCAGTGACAAACAAAAGGGAAGCTGTCAGGGGACATTTCTGAATGACATCATTTGAGCAATGTAGTACATTCACACAGCATCCCCATCAGTACAAAACCTACTATTAGACCTCACTCAGCTTGGTTGCGGCTAACTGTGCTACGTCATGTATGCAGCGGCAGAAGTACGCGCCATCAGCATGCCAATGGTCTGCTCAGCCAGCCAGCTCGCAGTCGGTGTGGCCAAACGAGATTCGCCACCGCAGGAGCATTGCTGTGGAACAGCTTGCCTAGAGAGGTGCGCACCGTATCCAGATTGCAAGATTTTAAGCTAGCCTGCCTTCCTTATGTATGCCCGAAATTGGTTGTGTTTCGTCAGGTTTTGACATGTTCCTTTCTTATAAGTATTCTCGCTCGCATAGTACTCCACTTCTATGATAATATTGCCTATGCTGTTGCTCATTAGGAGTTTGGCAAATTCTATCCTTCGCCAGGAACCCGTTTGAACTTGCGAAGTAAAATAATATCAATCAATCGAATCTGTCTCTGACCATTACATTTAGTGTGCATGAGAACGGGCATTTGCCAAATACATTGACTGAAAATTATCAATATACACCACCCTGACAACACCATACCGACAACAAGATGTGTAGGCATTCTCTAAGCCGGTGGGCACGCTGCTATACCAAGTTTGATCATGTGATGTCATGTGACAGAACCTTACCTTCACAAGCCACGGAATATTTTTGGCCAGATTCATAGGGCATCAGAACGGAACTCTGTTCTGTGGGACCCTTGATACCACTCATGGCGTAGATCTTTGGGGAATAGGCTGACCAGAAACTGATGGAAGACGGATGAGAAGCTGTCGCTCCTTGCCGATAGTTAAAAGAAAGAAAACCGAGGATATTTATTATACGAGAGAGCTTGCAAATCTTCTCATTTCCCGTGCCACTGCTAATGTCGCCGAAATCAAGCACTCCAAATCCCCTTTCGAGACACAGGTGTTGTGCATCTTGAAGGGAACTGACTGCTTGATAAAAGGTAGCAGCAGAGCCCATCAGCGGAAACCTTAACTTCGGGCTCTCCTCAGTTGCTGCACAAACTGAGATGAATGCTGCAAGAAAACATTCGAAAAAAGAAAAAGAAAAGAAAAGGTTGCAGGCCGGTAAAATGTCATGTGCTCTAGAAGGTAAAACCCTGATTGATATGATGTCATGATTTACAGGTACTTCATTTTGTGGGCAGGGTGGGGCTGGAATTTTGCATGACGCTCGGAGACGATCGCGCAGTTTGTCATTTGCAATTTAAAAATAAAACATGGATGACGGATATACATGTAGATGGGAGAGAATGAAAAGAATACGTTAAGTGTAGTGGTGCCTATGGGTAGTCGGGGTACCTGTGCTACCCGCGGGGGACCTCGGGTAGACGGGTACAGAATAGTACCCGGAAACCCGAGGTCGTAGATGCCATCAAGTACAGTGCACGTGTACCAACTCACGTAATTCGCCACATGTCTACTCAGTGTGCATAAAGGGAAGGGGTGCATTGTGCTGTTACCATGGAAACGCATCCGTGCTACCCGTCGAACTACCAAAACCCGATACCCAAAGAAAAACTCAGAAAGGTTGGTTTTGGAGGGGGTGGGGGGAGGGGAGGGGGTGGGGGGAGGGGAGGGGGTGGGGGGAGGGGAGGGGGTGGGGGGAGGGGGTGGGGGGAGGGGCAGGAATACTCCAAGCAAGTAGAGCTCCAGTTTTTAAACTATTTTTGGTGGCAACGGGTGTTGGGAGCGTTGTGATTTGTACTGGAATCATAGCACTCCGCAATCCGGGCCTACATGGGTGAAGAACCGACTATGACCAGTGACCACCAGGCAGTGCTAAAAAAACGATGTTTTAGGCTGCGTTTACACGGCAACGAAGTACGACGGAAACGGAACGAAATCGTTTCGTTTACTACAATCATTTACAGGACAACGCACGAAAACGCACCCCCAAACGGAATGAAATGAAAACGCACTTGGAAGTGTTTTGAAATGTTTTCAAAATATTTTCGCTCTCGTGTGAACGGTAAAAACGATTGGAAACAGAGCACGGTCATGAAAACCATTATGCGTGATGGAAATATATCGTACGAGAAATATTCTAGCCAAGTGCAGAAATAGCGTTCATGAGCTAACCAACTTCAACTAGCGTGTCCCCGTTCAAGTTTCCGTTTTCGTGGAAACGGTTCAAAACGATTTACCGTTCTTATGTAAATGGTTGTCGAGGGCGGCGTGTTTTGGTTTCGTTCCGTTCCGTTTTGTATCCGAGTGAACAAAGCCTTAGTACTCCTTGATGACCACCTCTGTAGTAATCATACCAAACATCCATGAAAGACGCAGTCGTACAACAATTTGAGGATGGCTGAACCTCGTGCCGGTAAAATTCGAGTCAGGGAGATAAAAACGAGGGATGCTTCCAGTACCAAAAATTAATGTCTCAAGATCTCTGCCAGTTTTGTGCCTTGTTATGCGCACTACCTGACTGTATAATATCTCGTTTCCTTAAGTTGGTGGATTTTCAGTCATAACTCGTACGTAAGTCCTTTTCTGTTTATTGTTCTGCTCTGACAGCCATGGTACTGGAGATCAACAGGGGAATGGAGCCTTGCTGCTTGATATAACAATCTCCCTGTTAAATCATTTGGGTGTTGGCGGGTGCGTTGCAATGTGTGTGCAATCAAAGCTTTGCTGGTCATCATTCCATTCGATCTCATCCATTACTGCCAGTGTTCGCAATCTAAAATGGGGCATTTTCAGTCTGCGTAGCCTATTTTCAGGTCTTACCTGGTCTGATCTCTTTTTCGCACGTTTCGCCAATGTACCTGTATTTGCAGATGCAGCGCCCCTTCACAAGTTGCCCATGATTGCAGATCTCTGTAGGGAGAGTAGAGGAGAAACATTCGGTTAACAACAACAACAACAACAACAACAACAACAACAACAACAACAACAACACCAACACCAACAACAACACCAACACCAACACCAACAACAACACCAACACCAACACCAACACCAACAACACCAACACCAACACCAACACCAACACCAACACCAACACCAACACCAACACCAACACCAACACCAACACCAACACCGACACCAACACCAACACCAACACCAACACCAACACCAACACCAACACCAACACCAACACCAACACCAACACCAACAACACCAACAACAACAACAACAACAACAACAACAACAACAACAACAACAACAACAACAACAACAACAACAACAACAACAACAACAACAACAACAAGTAAATGCAAGAGTAAATAACCTCTCAAGTGTCTGCATTCCGGATAACTGCCAAGCTCCTGGTTGTGACCACAAACGCCGAGTGGCTTTCTGCCAGGCAGTGCTTTTTTACTACTCTACTGGTCACTTAACAGTTAAGTTAACACAGACTGCGAACGTAAAACTTGAACACTACACAATGTCAGCAAACTGCACTTTCATAAAATAGAAAACCTCCACATAGAGGGCATCCAAAGTTTACACGTATTTCAAGGTTAAAGAGCGTATCTACTCTTGGTATAAACGCCGCGGCTTATACGACTTTTTTTTGTGGGGGGGGGGGGGGGGAAATTCCGCAGGCTTCTATAGCAGACAGGCTTACACTCTACTAAACTAGGGCTGGGAGTAAGCATAGTGCTGTATTTTGAAGCCGCTGCTACCATTTCAAGCCGGCTTATGTGCGATTGTACGCTTCCTAAAGTGATGCTTGTATTAAAGTGCGGCTTTTAAACAAGGCTTGACGGAACATGTCTGTGAGATAGAGTTTGCTGGTGTTAGGGTCTCTAATGTCATGTAGTGACATCACGACGGCACTGGACCTTTTGAACATCAAGAAGCAGATTACGATTACCGTTATCTATAGTTTTCAAGGAAGCAGTGAGATGGCACTACCGAGTTGGCTCCTTTTATACCTGAGTGGACCTTGTTTGCCCACTGTGACAGTTTGGCCGTTCGGACATAGTTTTCAAGGAAACAGTGAGATGTTGAAGTCGATAATCAAGTTAAATGCCCAACTTACGAATGCATAATATCTGTTTCGTAGTACCAGGGTAGATATTGAAAATCTGCAGGATCACTCGGTTTGATCCTTCCTCGTAGTTTTGTGTCACGATCTTCTTGCCGCCGTCAAGGAAATATGCACCGGGGCGAAGGTGAAGGCTTTTCAATACTGACTCAGGCATATCACTCTCGGACAAGAGACGTTGGCCGTAGAAAGCGCAGGCCCTGCTTGCCACGTCGTACTGCACCCACTGTCGGTTATTGAATGTTGAAAGGTAATACTTGTCGTGGTGCCTCACTGTTGTCCACAAAGCGCCTGCATTGCGAGAGAAGAAAATAGAAAGTAGCAATACAGGGATACAGTAAAACCTGTGAAGGCGACCACTTGAGCGGTCGTCTTAGACAGGTTTCACTGTATTTGAAAGGGCGGTGAGGTGGGGATTGCAAATAAACAGAACCAGCTGAAGCGTCATTTTGAGATGGCACGAACCAATTCTGTGTCCAACACCACTTTCTCTAGAATGTGTTTGTGAGATCTCAATAAAACCTTCATGAAATGCCGCTACAACTGGTTTTGTTTATTGCAATCGACTAAAAGCAATATAAGGATTTCGAGAAATGCCTATTGTCTCATTTAGCTTGTTGGCACAAACTTTGACGTCACATTTTGATGACTCTTAATAATATGGAACTGTGTATATAACCTTCTGGCTTTTAGCTCTTGTTGCCAAACTTATAGGACTAATGGTTTCAACCCATCATCATTTAAATCAGTAAATGTCTATAACGAGCAAATATCCCCCGGACATGGCCAAATTACCGATTACCGAGTTGGCTCATTTTATACCTGAGTGGACCTTGTTTGCACACTATGACAGTTTTGTCCAGAAACTCTAGTAATGTTGCTTGGATACTGGGATAGGAAGCGTCACTTGCTCAACAACAGCCCACCATGACGAGAAAGAAGAACTTTTCCACAACAACAAATCAGCAAGGACTGCAACAATAGTACTGTAGTATCCCTGCCCGACCAATACAGAAGTAGTACGGAACTTATACGGAGCTTTGCCTGATATATAGTTAGTGTATCTAAACAGTTCTGTCCGCAGATTGAGTATTTCGCTCCTGCTCTTGTAGCAGTTGTGCACTCTTGCGTGGGGTAGTGCCTTTGCTGTTTACGTTATGCAGAGCTCACTGACTTGTCCGTTTGAGCACTCTGGCAAGGTACGTTCGGGCCTGATTGGAAATTTTTATTTCCATTGCTACCAGGTTCGGCCTCATTTCCTCTATGCTGCGCTGACGAGTCCACAAAGGACGAAACAGTTCTGTCCGCAGATTGTGTAGTTAGTGTATCTCCGTATGTAAGCGTACGGCGTCTGCTGCATAGAAGCTGCTGCGCATTTCTGTTTAGATGAGATTTTGATAATAACGAGCTTTTCAACCTCCAGGTGTGCACTGGAGAAAAAGTCATTTATTTGCCGCTTCTTCTTTCACTAATAATTATATCTTAGGTGTGTACCTGAGAGAAGTAGAAAAAAACCAATTCTTGTTGAATTGCACTGCGCCTACCACTTGGCTACCTGTAACATTGGTGGCAGCGGTGTTGTTTTAAATAAAACAACGTGATTCGACCTCAGACCCCCCATGGCTCAACCCGCTGCAGCTCCGTGTGACGAATTAAGATGAGAATCATGTTTCTTGCTTGGCCCTGCTTATTAGCCTGCACCACAGTCAGGGTGCTAGCGTGGATCACCCTTCTTTCCGCACGGCACACACTGGAGACTCCGATGGCGATTCCAAGCGACCCGCTACCTACATGTATACTACCGGTGGTGATGGCGAAGCTGACGAGGACGACGACAGGCAGGCTGCTGCCCAAGACAAGGAGAGTATTCCCCAAGATCAGCAGCGTTTGATTTTTGCTGGCACGCAGTCGGAAGCAGGAGCCCATACTTCACTTGGTACTTAGCCTCCGTGGTGGGATGCAGATTTTCGTCAACACTCTTCCTGGCTAGACCATCACTCTTTACGTCGCGCAAAGCGATGCTATCGACAATGTGAAGACCACGATTCAAGACGAGGAGGGAGGTCATTTGTCTGACGCCGAGCTAGCCGCTCTGAGTGACCGGCTCAACCAAGATGAAGATAAAACCTGGCTTGCCCTCCGCCGTAGCTCCAGCCGCCACGGTGGTTATTAACGCTGATTCCAGGTATGGCATTTTCTTTCCTGTCTTCCTTCAGTCCCCCTGTTCTCTTCAGTCTTCTTTTATGCGAGTGTGTGAATCCAGATTAGTTTTGTAGGCGTCTGATAATGGTGAGCCACGGTTTACCTAAGTAACCTAGTGAGAGAAGTGTGTGAGAATCCCCCTTTACACTCCAGGTGTGTACCGGAGTAAGTTCCCACGATGCAGTGCATTTTTTGGAAATTGTGAATTTCCTGGCAGTTTGAGCCCGCGATGTGCAGAAATTTTGCTGTCTTTCATGTCCTGTTTCGAGCACCATTCTTTCCCTTTTGACCCCGAGAGATCGTGTGAACCTGGTGTGCTTTTACTTCTGTGTTATGATTTGTTATCAGTTCATTTCTTCTGTCTACTCTAAACGGTATCATTTCCGATATAATTTGCCATCTTCCGGTTGACGCTGTGTTCATAACTCTTCACTAATTTTTGGAAAATCACGAGGGCGTGATTATCTGTAGGAAGGGAGGGTGTAGTATCCCTGCCGGACCAATACGGACGTATTTGCCTTATGTATAGTTAGTGTATCTCCGTATGTAAGCGTACGGCGTCTGCTGCATAAAAGCTGCTGCGCATTTCTGTTTTCAATAGGCCTCGATCACACTACGGCAAAAATGCTGCGTCAGCGTCAGAATCATGAGATTTTCAATGGCAACTGACGCAAACGCGGGAAGTTTGAGCGTCAGACGCTGCTGCGTCTGACGTGGGGAAATCGGTTGCGTTGCAGCTGATGGGAGTGACGCTTGGCGGAAAAACAATGTCTTTCAAGTAAAATTAGTTTCAAGACAGTTGCTTGAGTTGAGCAGTCATTCGACATCCGTCTCTTCACGGTTTGTTGTGTTTCCTCTTTTTTTCGAGATGAGTCCGTGCACCTACGAGGCCGAGGCTGCTCTGCTCCGAACCTGGGGGAAGAGCGAGGCGTTTTCTGAGAAGAAAATGATGTCGAGAAAGGATCAGTTGTTTGAGTGGGTCATCACCCAACTGGAGCCTGTTGACTTGTGAGTGTTGAGTTGTCGTCAAGAGCCCCGAAAAGGACAACCAGTATGACGAAGTCAGGAGAAACACAGCTGCGATGCGGACTTTTCTTGCCTGATCCATGACACTACAACTGAAAATGGCTTCAAATTTGGAAAGAAAAAACAACGATCGTGTACGCGTGGACCTTTCGTCTTCTTGTATAAATCAAATATCAATGAAAAATTTGAAAACTTTGTCCGACAATTTTTTGGTATAATAAGCAAAAGGCTCGTTTCCGCGGGAATCCGTGTCGTCATTGAGATTCTCTGGTGATTTTGTGACGTAGACAAATGCGTCATGCCGCGGCAGTCACGAGCTGCAAGAAAAACAAAACACTGTGTTACCCCGCGTCTGCGTCAAGTGCTGCGACTTGACGCTGCATCCAGCTTCAAACTTGCCGTAGTGTGACCGAGGCCTTAGATGAGATTTTGATAATAACGAGCTAATCAACCTCCAGGTGTGCACAGGAGAGAAAGTCATTTATTTGCCGCTTCTTCTTATATCTCAAGTGTGTACCTGAGAGAAGTAGAATATAACTAGTTCTTGTTGAATTGCACCGCGCCTACCACTCGGCTACCTGTTACAGTACAAGATGGCCCAGATTGCGCCAGAACGATCTCTTGTGTTGGGCAGATAGTGCATGCGAGTTTCACATGCGTGCGACGCTCCCATCCAAAAATTCAAAATTTCTCTCAGGTTGCCATGAGCCCATGTATTTCTGGTGCATGCGCGGATATAACATACTTGTATATATCGTCAAACTTTGGTTTGTCGGGTTGAGCTCCCGGCAGCTCTCGCTCTTGCGAGAGACTTTTGTTCCTTGACAATGTTTCCAGACAGATGAGTTGCTACTAGATGAGTTGCTTGATTAAGCCGAAGGCAACTATATTTACGGAGCGCAGTAAGAATGACTCGTCCCTCGGAGCAGGAACGTTCAACGCTCGTTCATTGAAAAGCAACATCAAGAAAATTACAATAATACAAGATTTCGAACAATACAGGCTTGACATCCTCGGACTGACGGATACCTGTCTGAACGGAGCCTGTGTAGACACGTGCGACAACGGACATGTTCTGTATCGTTCGGGTGGCTCGTCGTCCAGAGCTGGAGTTGGCCTTCTCATCAACAAGAAACTAATCATTTGAAATAATGTGGAGTCGTACAAATTTATCTCCGAACGGATGATATCAGTTCGTCTCCGAAATGGACCTCGACCTGATAGCAACTCCCTCACGGTGGTCTGCTGCTACGCTCCGACGCTGCAACGCTCGACATCACATCCTCAGGAAACAGATGACTTCTACTCCGCACTACGAGGTATTGCCCAGGAGGTCAGTAGAAGAGATGATACTGGGAGACCTGACTGCAAAAGTACGGAGCGCCCGACCTGCTTCAGGAGGTGCAGTGGGATGTTTCTCCAAGCACGTATCAAGCAACGCGAACGGTGAGAGACTGATTGAGCTGTGTGAGGAGCAAAATCTGATTTTATGCAACACCATGTTCAAACATCGTATGCATTCCTTGTGATATATATATACAAAAAAAGGAGACTTTGGCTCTTTAGTCAAATATTCCATTGATAATTGTGACGAGAAAACGTTCTGGAATACATTATTTGTCCCCATGGTTGTGATAGGAGTGCGCATTTAGTTATATTTATTGCATTACTGAAAGTTAACCTAAATATTAAGGCTCACATGAATTGTCACCACTATACAATCTCAATCAGAAACACGCAGGATATCTTACTGCATTCGCCCACGACAGTCACCTGGCCAAAACGGTTGCAAGTCGCATTAAGCACTTGTGTGGAATGGTAGCCATAGTCACACGTTCCCTCCAACTGATTGTTTATGGTATTGAATGAACCATTCCTAAAAGCTCCGTTTGTTACAGTTGGTTTTGTACATATCTTGGCTACCAGCAACACAGTTCAGAGGCAACATATAGAAAATAGTTGGTGGGTTGTTCGGTTGGTTTATATGCTACTTCCCAGTACAATTCAAAACTTGCGCTCAGAACAGCCACTTTTGCAAACAATGGAGAGGCCCTCTGGAGATCGCAGATGTGCTGTAGGGCTTGATGGGGGAAAGGTGTGGGATACACAACATCCCTGTGTTTGAGTACGGAGGCTTTCCCCATCTCAGCAGGTAGCTATAGGGGGGCGGTCCAAGACCATGATTGAGAAATAGAGGGTACCAGTTTCAAGTCCTGCTTGAAGGGCAGAAGGGCTTTTTTACAGCCGTGCTGCGACCCAGAGTTAGTTTGGGAACTCGTGGCCTGGAATGAGGGAAGCAGTGATGCAGTGCATGGGATTTTCGTCATGGAAAGTGTAATTATTCAGGCAAACAATTCACTTTGCTTATGAACACTGCCCTCGTTATAATATTGCTGCCTCGCTAAAAACTGACGTAGACATGAAAGTTTATCCATTAATCAAGGAAATGTTTTCAAAACTGAATGTAGAAAAGGCACCACTTTATCTCCATGGATATCTGTGTATTTCCGAGTGAAGCGTGCCACGCATGTGTAATGCACATTTCCTTTGCTAAACTGGGCAAACCTTGCTCTGACCTAAACACCTAAAACCAGATTTGCTAATCTATAATACCCTAGAGGTACTGTATAGCAGGACATTTTCGGACGGAATTTATTTTCGTACGATTTCGTACACGGCCTCTTTTGTACTAAAATTAATTCCGTACTAAAATTTGTTCATGTGAAAATATGTACACTATACATGCGTACTGCATGCAAACACGTGTATTTAGCATGCAGTACTGTACGAAAATATAATCCTTACGAAAGTTTTTAATTCGGCTTTGTCCGAAAATATTTCCGTCCGAAAATTTCCTGCTATACAGAACTTGGTTTTACAAGTTAACATACTAGTGTTACTAGTACCAAGAGTACATAACCCCCAGAGTGTGCAACGCCTGATCCAGCTCTGCATAGGGTCTTGGTCGAGCGGAATCGGATCTTTGCGTCATAATACAGTACACATCTGAGGGGAACCCGGGGAGTCGCGGGTACGAGCTCGTACTCTTGGATCAAAAACAATGGTGCCCTGCCTCGAGACCGGCCTTGCGCTGGTGTGAAGTGTACGCATGACATCAGAAGATCCGATTCCGCTCGACCAAGACCCTACACAGAGCTGGATCGGCGTTGCACACTCTGGGGGGTTATGTACTCTTGCTAGTACTTGATAGGGTGACACCATACGAGAACCGTAATTATACAATGGAGACAACAGCAGAATTTTCGCCCGACTATGCGATGACAGTTATGTATGGTGGTGGGTGAATTGAAGTAGCAAATGACCCAGGCCGGGGGCCTCTTGCGTAGTTGCAGTGCAGTGTTGGAGCGCAAATGTTTCAACAGTCGCCTCGTTTTTCAGTATGCTACATAGTTGTATCTCAGAGTGCTAGATGATGTCCGCAGTATTTTCCACCTTTCTCCATGTGTAAGCACTTTGCCCAGCCTGCCTGTCACTTCAAATTAATTCTAGCCATTCGTTATTCTTAACCTTCACTGATCAGACCTTAGTGATCCAAACAACGCTGCCTGGAGGAAATTATATCGGTCAGTATATACAACTTGTAGTACTGTTGCTGATGTCATTGTCGGCCAGAGAGCGTATGTGGAGGAGGTGGAATTGCTTCATTGTTCATACTACAAGTACCGTTTAAACTTGTTATATACTCTTCAGGGCAAAGCCGATTTTCAACGCTGTTTCGACCACTAAGGTCTCAGTGAATATGATTTAGCTCTATCCACACCGAGGCGGATGGTTACAAATGAAATGGCGATGTGGTCTATTCGAAGCACGTCCGATTGTATTTCGTATTTTCCAAACAATGAAAATAACACACATGCACCCAAACCAATCAGTTGCTGGGAACAAGCTCACGGGGACATTGTTGTAACACACTATTTTAACACTGATTTTGCATTCTGAAGACCACACAAGGAAGCTTACCGCATGTGGCTAGTGGGCTGGTAGTGGAAGGTGCCGTGATGCAAGTCACCTTCGGGTTACCTTGAACCTCATATCCCGGTTTACATGTCAAAGTCAGCGTATTCAGAAATTCTTGTTGGGAGAATACACCGTTGCTGTAAGACCCATAAGCTGGATCTGTAGGCCGTAGACAAACTAACAACAGAGATCAAAGGGCAAAAAGAGGCTTGATGAGTGTTTCAAGTATTTCATGTTTCTTCTGGTTATGTTGGGTCGGGTATTGTTGCTTCCATGTACAGATAAGAATACTGCGGGATATTGGGAGCGCATCACGCTATTCTGACTAGTATTTACCTGCCCATCATGGATAAGTCCGCATCGCCAGCCAGCTCAAAGCCTGAGCCTCCACAGCCACTGTGGAGGCTGACTTGAAGGCCAATACTTTTCTTGTCATGGTGTCAACAGCTCGCGGGGAGCATGGATGGCGGGATCTTGTTCTGCCCCTCTGCCTCTTATTTGGACGCTGCCAGGTGGAATACACTTCCACCGGCTTGCCGCATGTCTAGTTCACCAGCTGAATTTCGCTCATCCATCAAATTATACCTAGGGTTCCCTGTAAAAAGGCGCTGACGCCTGTTGGGAATTCCCTAGTAAAAGAAGAATAAATAATAATAATATAATAATAATCATCCCAACCATTGGTTGGAACCTGCAGAAGTTTAGTAACTATTTAGTGACTATTTAGTGACTATTTAATGACTATTTAGTGACTATTTAGTGACTATTATTCATCAACTTTCTACAGTACCAGCATGTCGTGTTAACCGGTTCATCAACCGGCGACTGTTGTCGGGGATGATGACGTTCGTGCAGCAATACAGAAGCAAAACGTAGGTGGATAAGTCGGTCTGGATGGCAATAGCAGTGAAATGTTGCATGCAGGTTCTGACATTGTAGCTGGTTGAGTGTCCTCATTTTTCAATCTAATTTGCCAATTACAGCACTGCCCAGCAGACATGACTACTGGAACTATTGTGCCAATATACAAAAATGGCAAACCGAAAGGAGCCCTGAAGAGTTACAGACCAGTAATGCTATTGTCAGTGGTTTGGAAAGTCCCTAAAACCATAATCACAAACAGAATTAGCAACAATATTCAGGAATTTGTAGACGAGTCACAAGCTGGTTTCAGACCAGGTCGCTCAACGGCTGATGGGAATTTCTGTGTGCGGTCTCTGTGTCAAAGAGCTTTGCTACTTTGCTGGAAATATTTGACAGAATTACTCAATTTGAGCGGTGCATTTGACACAGTGAACCGTAGCAAGGCGCTCGGTCAAATGTCCGCTTCGGGTGCACTCACCCCAATGATTAAATTGCTAGTCTCCAACACGACAGCTAGGTTGAAGATTGTTGGGCAGCTCAGAGCTCCCTTCTCGACCAATATCGGAGTAGGTCAGGGAGACCCGATGTCTCATGCCATGTTCATTGTCTACGCAGAAGGTACGATGAGGCAGGTGAGAGCAGCCTGCACTTTCCCTTCATGCTTGCCTACTCATTTCTACCAGTATGCAGATGACACCACAATACATGACACTGATCGTGAGGCTGTGGTGGCCGCTGCAGCAAAATGTGAGCCAATTTTCGCCCAGGAGGACCTGAGATTAAATCTAACAAAACTCAATTTGTATCACCTTCTCAGGATGATGAGGCATGAATAAAGAGGAAACTACTCGGCAGTTTCCTGGGATCTGGAAGTGACATGGAAAACCGTGGCAATGCTGCTAACCGAGCGTTTTGCACTCTACCCTGAAAGAAACACTTTATTATCTAGCATGTTTATGTTTACCATACTTATCTTTTAGCGGGGAGTGGTGTTTTCTTTCAGGTTTTCCGAGTGGAAGTTTCGATGGACTTTTCCTGTGCTCTGGATGGCAGTCGTGAGTCAGTGAAGTGAGAATTCAAGTCGGCAGGAATCGCGCACGCTCCCACGTAGGGAGCAACACACAATTCCCCAATTTTCGCCAGCAGCACTTGGCAAAAGGCTTGACACGTGACATCGCCGCAAACTATGATCCAGTGTAGGCATTGTGAATCCCCAAAAAACATCAAATAAAAACAATCTGTCCAACCAAATTGGTTCTGCGATTCTTACTGTCCTCCTTAACGTAGTGTTATAAGTTCTGCGCTTGCAACCTTTCTGCTCATCAGGTAGCAGAGATGATGCCCGAAGATGGGCTGTGATCTTTTTGCTCAGAATGCCGGAGGATAATTTCCACATGACTGGAAGGCAGGTAATTGGTCGGTAATTGGTTACATAACTCTTGCGAGGGTCTTTCTCAGATCAGACCTGTACGACCATGATTCATCCAAGTTGGCACTTCAGCATCCTTCAGGCATGCGTTAAGCATTCGGGCCATTGCAGTATGCAAAGGAGTAAACTTCTTCACCCAGTACCACTGAACACCATCTGAGCCTGGCACCTTCCAGTACGGCATGCCAGCTAAAACTCTTGCACACCCATGATGAAAATGCACACCTCATTTTGTCCTTAAACTTCTCTGAGGTCACTTTCCACAGTGGTCACCCACTCTGCTTGTTGATCGTAGGTCACGAGTGAGGACCATATGCCTTGCTAGAAGGCTACAGCATCTTGTGAGTCAAGTGAGGTACCATATGATGGTTTGGCGGGTGTAGTGTTGTCCCCTTGACGTTCACAGTAGATTTGTCTCTGGTCTCTCTCAAAGGTTCCATTCTGTCGAAACTGCCGGGATCATTCATCGGAGCGCTTGATCCCAGCGGATGCAGCATGAATTTGCTGCTTAACCTCTTCCAGTGCGCCATTAAGTCCACTTTTCAGGATCTCGTGTCTAGTGGCTAGCTTTTCCTTTACCCTCTCATTTGGCAATCCTTGCCGACCCCATTCGCCGAGTCAACCGTAATCTTTGCACAGCCTGGCCAGCTTAGCAAGCTGCCTCTTTCGCCATCTGTTCTCATTACGCCTTTTCTGTTATTCTGTTACTTATTAATATCCATCAGCACTCGGCCGAAGGCCGGAAATAATCTAGCACCTGGCTAGCATCCAGCAGCCAAAGGTGGGGCCATGGATCATATGGATAATAAATATGATGGTAGGTCTACAAAAGAGAGAACACAAACTACACTTTTTAACCTTTTTAGCGCGAGCATCGTACTAGTACGATGCACACGAGTTGCATGCCCCACGGCCGTCGTACTAGTACAACGCTCGGTGTACACTGTACAGTGAACCTGCATCTCATAGTCGTGGGGTCCATGTTGAGTCCATAGTGGCTTGTTCAAACTATCGTGACCGCTCACTCAACCGTGTTCGATTGGGATTAAGGGCCGAACGCTGGCTGCATCGCAGCCTTTTCGGACTAAAACCAGTCGACTCAGCGGCCACAAGACTACGACATATGGACCAGACGCGGTCAACCATGCTTTTATAAGAACGAGACGGCGTTCTTAGTGACTTTTTCCATACAAATCCCAATCTAGTAGGGCGCATTCACCCAGTTTCGGTGGAAGTTCGCGGGTTCGATTGGGAATAAAGGAGGAAGGAAGCGTCAGCGTCCTCGAACCAAGACTATTCGACTCAGCACCCAGAGGACAACAACTGGTGAAAAGTTGATTTAAGGGTATGCTTCCCCTTTAACCACACAACCGTTACCTACACAACCCGCGGATCCTGGCTCACAGACTGTGCTTGCTCCGCCGTTAGCCCTTTGCCAAAGGTGCTCGCCGTTTTTCGCCCTTTTTGGAAAAGCTTGTTTCTTTCGCCCTTTATTGCGTTGTTTGGTGAATATCGCCCTTTTTGAGCTTTTTTAGCTGAAAAGGTGCTAAATCTGTTTGCTCATGCATGCGATCACAGTTTCCGAGTGTTCGATGGGCCTTGGCAAGCCGCTTTTTTGGTGGGCAGCAAGTAACTTAGTTGGTGAAGCTTGTACACGGTGTACACAATGCTGTAAAAAGTGGGCTTTTGAATTTCCTGTTTTGCCTTTTGTGGACCCATAACGGAAGAGTGCGTATTCTTTTCTCAGCTTGGGTTCATATCTGAACATGTATCATGGCTACGCTTCACTGAAAAAGAGCACTTTTTGCCTGTTTTCACTGAAAAAAGAGCACTTTTTCAGCATATTTTGAGGGACGCGAAAAGCACTAAGTGCGAATTAAAAGAGCACCTTTGAGAAAGGGCTATCCGCCGTCGCTGGTGGCGGCGGTGGAGGAGAATGGGCGTGGTGGTTCATGGGTGGGCTTGTGTCGCCGCCTCTGCTCCTGCCGTCGGTGGTTAGTCAGTGCTGAGGTGGCTGAGGTGGTGCCACTAGCGGTCCCGGTCCCACTACCTCCTCCTGATCCTCCGCTGTCGGTTCTTGCGGCAGTGGAACTTGCCAGTGACAGACCGCGAACAACACCGACACTCCAAATGCCGACTAAAAAAGACCCACCTTGCATATCAACAGCTCACACACCAACACCAATAGCGCAATCTACAGCAACCAAGCCCATTATTGAAAGACCAAGACGATCAACAGCCAACTACAACAGAAGCTACGCACTCAAAGGACAAGGGCGCAAGGAGGGACGTGACTGCAGGGTGACGGTCAAGTCAAGTTCAATGGACCGAGTGGTGGTGGTTGGTGGTTGTGTTTATTTAAATTCGCAAACCGAACGGACTGAACATGTCCAATGACAAGGAAGCGAATGAAGTCCAAATAACCCAGGAATGGGGACAGAGATGAAAAGAAAATAATGGGAACAGAAGGTTCTCGGCAAAGGAAGAAGAGAAAGGAAGGAAAGAAAAAGAATAATGGAGAAGAAGAAGAAGACAAAAAATCGTGGTCACGGCGAGAAGAAAGCTTTTAACAAAAAGACAAAGGAAAGGATGAAGGAGAAAATGGGGAGACACATCGTGGTCACGGCCAAAGCCGGAGTACGGCAGGACACAGTAGACAAAACAACACCAGGAACAAGCACGCATGAAGCATGGGCCATGCCGGCCCAGAAGCGGGAGACCCCGAAAGGAAGAGAGAAGAGAGAGTTGCAATTCGTATTCTGACTCTTCGTTCACTGTATTGTGCCGTGGTCGTCATGGTTATGGACTACAGTTAATAGTTTTGGAAGCTATCTATCAGCGTCTATATCAGCCTTATTTGTGTGTACAGAAAGATAGTATAATTGGGTTGAAATCAGGGAGTCGTAAAATACCGGGAGGCGACACGAGATGCACAACCGCGTCGGATGATTGACTGAGCTCGGGCACGAGTGCTGAGGGAAAATATAGAATCCCCATGAGGTCAAAGCGGCGCAGGTCATGCACAAAGGACGCGTTCGCTGTTTGGTCCCAAAAATCAAAAAAATAATCCTGCTCCCAGGGAATCGTCCAAGTGTCAGCAGTTGATTTGGTGATTCTAAGTTTGTGCCTTGACTGGGTAAAGGATGATGGAGGTTGACAGAGATGCCTGCCAAAGTGATGAGTCCACCGTGGAAAATGTAGATGACGCCACGTATCCACTTGGTGACCTGAGTTGTGGAGATGTTCAGTTGTGGACTACTGGTGAGATTCTCTCGTCTGCATTTTTTGGTCTCGTCTTGTCTTTGTGAACACGAATGTATAATCTGTAGCATACTAAGCGCCTCAAACTCACCCGAAAAATGGGAGTCTGCCCACGGTGCATTGTCTGTTCACTATGACATGTGACAGTGTTGAACCTGTGACAGGATATTATTCTATTCATGTCCTGAAAATTTCGTCTTTACCTAGTACATGTATGTAAATTGTTGACATTATATGTAAACCTCCGCCCTCAACCCTTGCTTTGCCTATGTGCAGATCCATGTAAGAGTGGCAGTGCCACCATGGTGTACAGGCCTATGGAAGGTGAAATAATCCATGAAATTTGCGAACTGCTGACAATGAGACAGGCGAGTGTTACTGAGGCGATGGAGTCATTCCTGCATGTTATCAGGACACAGTTACACAAGGCATCAGGTTTTGGAAATTTGCTACGCCAGGAAGTGTGCCCAGCTGAAGGCATGCAATATTGCTGGCATTTCGCAAGCATGGTAACAAGTGCTCTCCAGCATCTCAACAGCTTTTCCCAAAGTGAAGCTCTGTATAAGACACAATATGACTCAGCTAAAAACAACTGAAGAAGTGACATGTGAATGTTGCACGAGCATGCATGTGTGTGTATGTGTGTGTGTGTGTGTGTGTGTGTGTGTGTGTGTGTGTGTGTGTGTGTGTGTGTGTGTGTGTGTGTGTGTGTATGTGTGCGGCTGTGCCAAAGCCTAGAGTGTTCATTTGCGGCTGTGGCAGGGACTTCAGCGTCGGCCCAATGATCTAACTCGCCACAGGAAATACTGCAACTCCTGATGCTATCATTGCCCGGAGCAATGGGCATCCAAAGGTCCAAAGGTGTATGTGTGTTGTGCATTGGTGGTCGATTCACATGGCTTTGCCAGTTGTGTGGATTACACAGTTATCTGGTGCAAGTCTTGATCTGTCTCATTCAGATCTTGTTCGCTATCGTTGCTATAAGAGAAAATCTGTGGGCGCACATCCAGTGCATTTGCAGACTTGCGTTCTTCTCTTGCGACGGGCTTATGCATGGTATGTGTGTGCGTGCGTGCGTGTGTGTGTTTGCGTCTGTGATAAGTGGATAAAGCAGTATACAGGGTATTCACGCGTATTCGCCTTGAGTGCATTTGCCGATAGCGTGACTTTCGTCGCAAAGAATTTTGCTCAGTCAGTCAGTCGACTCGGCCTTACGTTTCCTGAAGGCAATGTGTTCAGAACACAGTTACTTCAAGTATGAACAGCTATGAACAGTTAAGAAATGACAAATATTGTGTGTAGTTCATGGACCATAATGTGAAACACTTTGAATGCAGAAGAATGAGGATAGTGGCATCAAATGCTGCATGGATTCTGTTTGATATGCTACTTTTTTTCCCTTCCATGGAAAGGTGAGTTCATCATCGATCTTCATCTCGAAACTTTACACAAACCGAGAATGGAACTTGGGCAACACGAAGGGGCCATGGACATGGTGTGTTTAGTGGAGAACTATTCCGAAAACAGGGTGTCATTCGCACTTACTCAATTCAAATTTGAGTACATTTCGTGAATAACGTACCTTGACATTCCGTCGTCTCCAAAGCAGTGAACTTCCCAAAAAAATTAAATGCCACGGCTCAACCTAAGGTAGTGCGTGGTACGTATCAGAAACAACCAGCTTTCGCTCTGGAGATCCAGAATAGGCCTCGAAGCATAGCAAAAGCAATTGAGAGAAAGAAGATGACGACGACGTTTCAATCACGCTTCAAATTTCGCGGGTCGAGTGCGGCAATCCTCGGATCGTGAAATGTGTGGCGTGTCGCCTCCCGGTATTTTACGAGTCCCTGGTTGAAATTGTTCAAGTAACGTGTTGTGTGTGGTGCGGCCAAGCTTGGCCGTTAATGTTCTAGATGAAATGTACTCCTGTTATGCGTTGTCACTTTGTCTTTCCTTCCTTCCTTCTTTCTCTTGTTTGTTCATTTTTCCATTTGCAAGTTTATTGTTAGCACGCACATTCGTTATTGCTCTTGCAATGATTGTTAAAATTCACACTTGTAAATTTCACTGCTGTTAGTGCTATTTCGCTAACTTAGATTTTCTATAATAGTTCATGTTTGTTTCATTGTCCTTTAGTACAATGACGATTCCTGATGATTGTTGTACGAAACTCTTTTGAATCCTTATCTTTTTCTCTACACCATTTCTTCATACTTTCATCGTGTTATTGCACATCGTCTCCACTGTTCTACATTGCATGAATAAAGTACACAAATGTAGATTCAGCTCTTACTGATTGCGGTTATCAAATTATTATTGTTATTATTAAGAATTAAGCGTGACAAGTGTGTATCAGCAACAACAACAAAAACTTGAGAACGAATGATAATAATAACAATAATAAACAAGAAGGTGACAAAACACATTTAGACACAAGTGGCAACAACGTTGCCACCCCACACAAAAGAACATTATTTGAACAATTTTAGGGTAATAACACTATCTTTCTGGACACACAAATTCGGCTTATGAATGCGCTGACAAACAGCTTCCAAAACTTGTAACTGCAAAAGATAACCATGAAGAGCACAGTTATTATTAGTATTATTGTTATTGCAGTTGACCTACCCTTCTAACGATACTTGCCTTAGGGCCTGGTCAGACTGCGGCAAAATCGAAATAATCCTAGGATTATAATCCGAATCTCCATAGTAACTTGCCGCCAGAGCAGCAAAAGCGAGAGTTGACGCTCCAAAAAAAAGCAAGAACGGGCCACGCTTTTCCGCTCAAAACAGGATTTGACGCTGATACGCCATTGACGCTGATAATCACTGATTTTTTCATCTCGATATCGAGGAGCTAATTGGCCACGGACAACAACAAAACTCATAAGGATGGTTGCAAGGATTGCACTGAAGGTGTTGGCGATTCCAAGGAATTTGACGTCGTTCGTGGCGATTACCACTTGACGCTCGAAATGAAATTTGAATTTTCATTCTCCCCACATGTGTAGTGTGATCGCGATTCAAATTCTGGACGCTGTTCTTTTTTCGTCAGGCAACCAAAAGCTGCCGCAGTCTGACCAGGCTCTTAGACCAAGAAATATCGTTAAAAGGGTAATAATTTATTGTTACACGGTTACTGGTTCATTTCATACATGAACGTCATAATTCATGATTTTTGTTTTTACATTCTTCAGAGCATGAAACCTAAGGCACATGATTGTATGTTCTATGCACATAATGCACACAGCAAGGCATTACTGGTGCCCCCATTGAATTCTTCATGCTGCAGCGACTTTTCAGGTGAAGCTTGCCCTACCTGGGTAGTGGACTCTACATATTCCCTGCTAGATATTGTTATGAAAATTTTGGTTGCAACTTCGGCGATGATTTGTAAGAATGGGTTGCTCCCCACATTGGAGCTCACGCTTTTTCCCCGAGTCAAGTGTCAAGTCGGCGGAATACCGCGAACTCCAGTGTGGGGAGGAAACCCTTTCTTAGATATTGTTATAGAATGGAAGAAATATGAGTGGTCAACCCATTTTATATGATTCCAAGTGCAATATGGTTATAGCAATAATTGATTGTGACAAGGGTAAGGCATCGTGTACCAAAGTCAATGCAGTGATTTTTTGGCAGAAAAATATCGTTATAAGGGTAATATTGTTATAGGGGGCATTCGTTATAAGGGTAGGTGACAAGGACCTCTGGACCAAACAATCTTAGTCGGTGAACAAAAAATATCGTTATAAGGGATTATCGTTATAAGGGTAGGTGACAAGGACCTCTGGATTAAACAATCTTAGTCGCTGACCAAGGTTCACTCAAAGATAAAAGTAGCTGACCTTGCTCAATTACTCTTACATCTGCAGACAGCATGTTGTTTCGTCCTGCGAGGACCCATCAGCACAGCACAGCACAAAGACACTCAAATAACACGTGCACGCTATATTTAATCGACTTACTCCTCTTGTCAAAGCAGGCTACATGTTCTTTCTCTACACGACTCGAGGAATGTCCATTATAGCTATACGGTGAGAAACCAGGGTCAGTAGCCCAGAATAATAGTTCGCTGTCAGGATAGGTGCTCTGTAATTGGGTGGAAAGTTGTAACATGCAACTCCCCTCGTTGACGGCGTTAGGTATACTGGCGCCTCTATCGTTACAAAATTTCTCGGCAGCTTGGTAATCCACTGAGTCCTGCGTGTGCATAAAAAGCACTCCTTTAGCGTTCTTGTGATCGTCTTTACAAACATAGTGATGTTCACCTGAAATGAAACCAAAAAAATGGAAGTGTACCCATAGGTCAGTTGCCATGGAGACAGAAATGAACTCAAGACTTATACAAAGGAAACATATTTGCATACGAAGAGACGAAGGGAGTTGTAAATCTGATGAGTCCCTTTTGTACAATCATTTCTCAACTTGGTTCAGGTTGAAAATGAGACGAAGCACACTAATGTCAATTTACACAGCATATCGGCGGTAGAATGGTGTTGAAACGTACACAGGCTAAATGATGGAGTGAGTGGCTCCAAACAGCACAATAATTATAGCAGGGAAGGAGGGGCAGGAAAGTCGGAACAGCACTATCTTCCTCAAAAGCACCTTCTGTCTACAAAGAACAGGCTGTAACTTGGCAATGTAAAAACCCTCTAGCACCTCTGGCTGGCATTCGCTGGCCGCCTGGTCGAGAACCTTTTAACACAGCTTTAGAATATTCTTACATACTGCAATGAGTCAGGCAGGGGACATGATAAGAGGTGAGGTTCTTTCAGCGAAAACCATCACTTGTGTGTTTGATATAAATCATCAAAATGTGACGTCAAAGTAAGAGCTTGCTCGTAACGATTCTTGATCGATCGACTGGATGTCCTTCTTGTCCAAGGAGTCTGTAGCGTCTTCAAGTGAGTTGGGACAATTGAATTTAGTGCAAGGTGAGAGGTCCAGTTTAGTCTCAAAGTACCACACTAAGAATTACTGATCTAAATGATGATGGGTTAAAACTACAAGTATTAGTCCTATATATTTGGCAACAAGAGCTAAAATCCAGAAGGAACTAAAAGCAGTTGCATAATTTAAGATTCAATGTCTGTAACGAGCAGATATGGCCAAATACCGATTTCGCTTAAAATTAAAGTTGGCTCCTTTTATACCTGAGCGGTAGTCCATCAGCCAGTGGTGCCAAAGTGAGTCCCCCGTTGCACTTACAAATCGAACACCTGGAACTGACATCAATCGACAGCAAAAGCATCACTGAATCCGACCTGCCTACTTTCCCTGGCGAAACTCTTGCACTCCTTTTGCAGTGCGCCTTGGAAGTTCGACAAATTTCTTCTTCTTCATCAGCCATTAGGAGGTTTTCCATCCGTTTTATCAGGACATCCAATGCGTCTTCAGTGAAAAACGTGGAGTTTTGTCAACGTTTGGTGTGGTTTTCCGTGGCCATCGACCTAAAATCGCGAAATAAATCGCCGTCGATTTGAGCAGAGGTGAGTTGGCTTGGAGCACGTACAGATTCAAAAAATATGTGTACATGCGCACCGGGAAGAAGATGAAGATGCTCACCATTTTCAAATAACTAATTCAAAAAACTACATGACTATTGTACTGCAATTGTTGTAGTTACTTGTTTGCAACTACAATGGTATCAAGTAGATAATCAAGCGAGGTACAGAGGGATTGATGGCTGATCAAAGCCCAAGGGACCAGCCCGAGGGCTTTGATCAGTCATCAAGCCCGACTGTACCTTGCTTGAATATGCTTCAGACGATCCCCAACAATTTTTTTGATTTTGAATTCAATCGCTTTTTTCTTTGGGTGATCTCGAGTGTGGTACTCTGGCTTGAGAGTTGCTACGGGTATACGACATTTGACCTTCAAGCTAAACAAGGGCACCCACATCCCGTCCGTCATAAAAACCCAGGGCGGGCTGACTGTACGCGTACGCTACGATGGCCAGGTGCGTACTTGCAATGTGTGCAACAACCCTGACCACCTCGCAGCACAATGCCCAAATAAGGGCATAAACGCACGTGCACCACCCCGTACAGGGCGAGCCCCACCACCACCAGCTGGGGAGGCGTGTAGTCAAGGCCCGTCTGGCAGCACGGAGGTAGTTGAGACATCCACGACATGCACACCGCCACCAGCTGGGGAGGCGTGCAGTCAAGGCCCGTCTGCCAGCACGGAGGTAGTTGTAGCTGTACCACCACCAAACACGTACAGTCAAGCCCTGCAAAGTCCAACCGCACGCGCACCAACTGCCAGCACTGAGGTACCACCACCAAACACGTACAGTCAAGCCCTGCAAAGTCCAACCGCACGCGCACCACCTGCCAGCACTGAGGTGGTCGCAGCCGCAGTACCGCACACAAGCTTGACCCCAGCGAAGCCAGCAGCGTTGCCAGCCGCCAACACAGTCGCCTGCACCCCAGTCACGCCGACGACTGCTCTGGCCACCTCCAGGGGGAAAACCACACACCCATCACCGGACACTGAAGACGATGGCTTTACTCCAGTGAAGAGGGGAAAGAACTCCTTTCGCCCAGGTAACAGTGCCACCTCGGAATGCCAGAACAACGACACAGACCCACAGGTCACGTGGGCTAACGAAGTCAGTGCGAAAGAGGTCGAAAACCTCCTCAAGCGGATCCGCAGACGCAAGGGCAGCTTCTAACCGGTCTACAGCCACAGGCGTGCAGCCACCACTCTCCCCTCCTCCTCCATCAAACACTTGTAAGTTACCCCACACTAGCCTTAATGTAGGAACCCTCAACATTTGCAGCCTCAGGAACAAAGTTGAAGAAGTCCACCACGTTTTGCATAATTTTAACCTAGATGTATTAGCCATTACTGAAACTTGGCTCAATGACACTATAAGCGATGCCCTAGTTGCAATACCTGGCTACTCTATACTTAGATCTGACAGGACTAGCCAGCAAGGTGGAGGAATATGTTTTTATGTCAGGCACTCACTCACTGTCACTGCCATCACCTTCCCAAATCCAAACCAGCTTGAAGTCTTGTGCATTGTGGTGCAGACCACAAAAACTGACCAGCTTACACTGACCTGTGTCTACAGGCCCCCAAACAACACTGTGGGCTTTTGGCAGCTTCTTACAGATACCGCCGATCATCTCTACAACCCACGTGCACCGATGATTGTTCTGGGTGACCTAAACTGTGACACACTGCGAACACCACCCACATCCCACCTTCACCATTTCAAAGAGTTCTGCAGCTCACTTCACCTTGAGAACATAATCTCCTCTCCCACACGATTCCCCAGCCAATCATGTCTAGACGTTGTACTGGTCGATCAACAGTTGCTAGGTCGTGCGCCAGGCAGTTCCAGAGCTTTCATCTGGAACCAAGCTGTACATCCCGTAGTAGACGTCAGTGATCATCACCTTGTAACTTTCTCCTACAGCGCCCCTGGTAGAGCTTCATCACCCGCAACTACAGGGATACGACATATCCGCCGACCACCTCTGTCTTCAATCAGCCCTGATATGCTGAAAACAGAAATCGCAAAGAATGTGGCCGAATCGACGAGCGGCACCTCCCAATCGCTGGATGAATCAGCATCAGCGTTTCGCGACAGCGTCCTGTTGGCCGTAAACACGCTGTGTCCACTACGGCCCTGTCGCAGTCAGAAATCACGGAAACCTAAGCCATCCCCGTGGTGTACACCAGCGCTAACAAATCTCTTCCACCGTCGCAAACATCTTCACCGCGCGGTTATGAGAAACCCGACTGACACCCAGCTCTTGCAACTGTACCGTGCAGCAAGAAGAGAAGGCACGCTGCTTAACAAACGCCTAAAGAATCAATATTTAGTAAGGGAGTTCTCAGACTGCCGAAATGATCCTCGCCGCCAATGGAAACTGCTCAACAAACTCCTTGGTCGGAACACCACTCCAACACCTCTCAAAGCCGACGTTTCCAGCCTCACCAACTTCTTTGGATCGGTCGTCTCTGACCCAGAGCGACCTCCTTCCCTGCAAATCCCCCAAGGCCCCCGACAGCTCACCAGTTTCGCAAATTTCACCCCTGTCACTACCACTGAAGTCTGCAAGCTCCTCAAGAAGATCTCCCCATTCAAATCCACCGGATCCGACGAACTCCCACCCCTTCCTCTGAAGATCTGTGCAGAAGAACTAGCCGGTCCCCTCTGTCTCATTTTCAACGAATCACTCTCCCTCGGTTCCTTTCCAGACATATATAAAGTAGCGTCTGTATTCCCCCTCTTCAAGAAAGGCAATCCAGAATGTCCCTCTAACTATCGCCCCATATCTCTACTCCCCATCGTATCCAAGCTTCTAGAAAAGATCGTCCTTCATCAACTGCAGCGCTATATCAACACCCACCCAGAGCTCAACATTCTTCCTCCCCAACAGTTCGCCTACCGCTCAGATCATTCCACAGAGGATGCACTTTCACTGGCTATATCAAAGTGGCAACAACGCTTGGATGACGGTCAGAACACCGGAGTGTTATTCTTGGACATGAGCAAGGCGTTCGACCGGGTCAAGCACCAGCCACTCATCAACGAGCTCTACTCCTGCGGTATTTGTGGCACAGCACTGTCTTGGTTCGCCTCCTATCTAAGCGCTCGTCGACAGACAGTGACGAACCCCTCCACAAAAACATCCGGCGACTCCGTGACCTGTAGTCGAGGGGTACCTCAAGGCTCTGTCCTGGGCCCCGTTCTTTTCACAATCTACACAAGACACGTAACAGACGTCACACCAACTCACACATCTAACATACTCTACGCCGACGATATAGGACTCTACACATCGAGCAGCTGCATCAACACGATACAGGACCGACTATCAGAGAGCTTCGATGCGGTTAAATCACACCTCACGGAACTGGGCCTCCTACTGAACCCCGACAAAACTCAACTATTAATCGTCCGCCGGAAGACAACCCCATTTCCACCTACCTTCACTGTCATCTGTGGTAACTTCCCAGTATCCCCTTCCCAGTGTGTCCGTTACCTTGGAGTGCTAGTCGACCAGCACCTTGCCTTCAAGGAGCAGGTCGGGAAAGTTGTTGCTGACGTCAACCGTAAGCTGGCCGCATTCCGCAGAATACGACATCACATCACCACCCAGGCACAACGTTCCTTTTACCTAAGCATTATCCAATCCACCATGGAGTACGCCAGCAACTGCTACGTTCACACGATATCAGCAACCCTATACAACACACTCATTCGATGCTTCAAACGTAGCCTCAGGATAACATTTGGCTACCC